GGAGTGATATTAAATTGAAAATGATGAAAAACACTTTATTGTATCAAATCTCGTAAGCTAAAGACTAAAAAAACATAAGATAGGGAGACTCAAAGTGTAACATTTCAGCTCAAATCAAGACCACTAGAGTGCAACTTCCACCGCTTCAACGAACTTTTTGTCTTGTAAGATTTGTCTCTGAAACTCTAAGAAGCTATGAGACTAACTCGACCACTCAAATGCAACCTTCTATGCTTGAGCACAGAATACTCTGCTCGAGCACAAACTAAGTTGGATTCGCATATAGACATTGTTATTCTCACAAATGAAAAATAATAGATATAATTACAATTAAATATTGTTTTTGTCCAACGAGATTGTCAACAACAAAGGCCTAACCAAGGAGAAAAGATTAGAAATGAGGAGAAGAAAGAAAGGGATAGAAAAAAGAGAGAAAAGATTAGAGATGAGGGGAAGAAAGAAAGAGAAAAAAAAAGAAGGGGGGGGTAATTTTATCTTTCAAAATCAAGACACATGTTTGTAATTACTTTTAATCTTCGACTTTTATCATAAATTTAAATTGATTCCTTCATGTTTTTGTAATTGCTTTGTTTTTCCTTCCATTCTTTAATATTTTTTTCACCTTTAACCATATGCTATTGATTGTTGTTGGGTAGGGATGGCAATCTAAACCTGACCCGACGGTAACCCGACCCCCCGACCTCGAATTGAGCTGTTATTTCCCAAAAAATACCCCCGACAGGCCGGGGATGGCTTTCAAAAAATGAATCCCTGATGAGGTTCAGGCCAGGGACGGGGATACATGTCCCAGCCCCGGAATCGACCCGACCCCGACCCCCGCCCCGTTCAACCCCGATGTAAAATTACTATTATACCCCTGTTTATATATATATATGTGTGTGTGTTTAGGGTTTGGTTCACTTCATACACTTACACACAAAAGTTGGCTGCTCTCTCTCTCACCGCTTAAGGTTTCACCTCTCTCTCTCTCTCTCTCTTTCTCTCACACAACGACGCTTGCCGCTCCTCCCTCACCGCCGTTGCTTTCACCTTCATCTCTCTCTTACACACGACGGATGCCACTCCTCTCTTACCACCGCTCTTGCCTCATCGCCATTGCTTTCACCTCTCTCTCACACACACACACACACACACACACACACACACACACACACACAATGATTGGCACTCCTTCCTCACCACCGCTTGTGAACAGATCGTGAATCACCACCTCTATTACCACTGATCACCGATCTGAATAGATCGTGAACCATGAAGCCCTCAGATCTCAGATCTAAAAATCATGATTCATGGAGAGTGAACCGTGAAACGTGAAGCCCTCAGATCGCCGATTGTGAACTATGAAGCTCTCTCTCTATATATATGTATGTATGTATGTATGTATCATCTCATTGATCTGTTCAATTTTTTTTTCCTTTATTCTAACACAGAATGATTTTGTTGTTGATTGTTGATGTTGTTGTTGTTGTTGTTGACGAAGAAGAAACAGAGGATCAAATACTTGGGTCTGGGATTTTTCGGGGTTGGGAAAACTCGATCCCTGTTAGGGAGCGATGGATGGGGGTGAATAGGTTCCCCACTGGGGATCGGGGGTGGGGATTGGGATATTTTTACCTTTGGGGATTGGGGACGGAGAGTGTGATCCCTAACCCCGCCCCAACCCGTTGCCATTCCTTTTGTCGGGTGGGTTACCAAACTTTTGGCCCAATTTTTCAAATCATAATAATTAGAAAGGGTTAAATTCATCTTACTTGTGGTTTGAGATTAGAGTACTTTATCTTCTTCTTATTTAAATATAGTTAGGAAGTTTCCATGTGATTTGAATTAAAGTGCTATCGTTAGTTTTTCCATTCAAACTAAGAAAATGAATATTACACACTATTTTTTTAACTGGGTTTTGTTTTCTAAAAAATTAGAACGAAATTAAGATAACAAAAGGACAATTTTACCCCTATTTTCTCCAAACCAAAAAATAGATTAATATGTTAATTAAAATAAAATATAATTAAGATTTGATCTAAAATATAAAAATAATTAAGAATTGATTTAAATTTAATTAAATAAAATATAAAATAAACAATAAGTAAGAATTAATCTAAAATGTATTTAAATTAAAATTAGATTAGCATGTTATAAATTATAATAAATAATTAAGAATTTAGGATTAATTGTGATATAAAATATAATTAAATTAAAATTAGATTAAAAAGTTAGTAATTACAATAAATAGTTAAATATGTAGGATTAATTGTGATCTAAAATATAATTAAATTAAAATTAGAATACTGATTTAAGAATTAGAATAAATATTTACCAATTTATAAATTAATTGTGATTTGATTGAATTAACACTAGACATTATTAATTATGTGGATGAGAGATGAGAGAGAAAGAAAATAACAAAAAATATAAGTTTGAGGGTATTATAATCATTTCACATCTATAGGTAATGGTCGTAATGGTTGCATTTTAGTCCAAAACCATGTAGGAGACATATGACTATTTTTAAAAGATAGGGAGTAAAGTGCTATCAAATCATATTACATAGTGGTAAAATAAATTTTGTCTTAATTAAAGTAAGTGTTATTTACCTAAAAGTCATATTTACAAATATTATGATAGCTCAGGTCTTATCTAAATTTTTTTGAACAAATAAGTCTTATTTAGTAAAATTAAGAATATTATCAGTATTTTCAATTTTTTTCAAAAGAAAAACATAATTTTTTTACACATAATTTTTTTTTTTAATTTTTTCAATTTAAAAGTTGATATTTTAAAGTTTTGAAAATCAAAAAAAAATGTCAAATCACCGTATTCCTTTATAGATAATCATAAATGATAAACAATTATTGTTTGAATGACAATTTCGATTATTAAAAATTTAACATGACTTAAAGGTCCAAAAAATTTTAATTAAGATTTAATAGAGTAGAAATTCATAAATTAAAATTTGTGTGTAAATGACTCTTAAAATAATAAGCTTAATTATTAGAAAAAGTTAAATTGGATTATTTCTCATTTTTCCAAACGGTGAAGAGAAAAAATTACTCCACTTGCTTTGCATTTTGGTTTTTTAAAGTAAAACAAGTTGGAGAATCTTGTAAATTTTTCTTCCTCTTTTTCTCTTGGGGAAATTACTTAGCTGAGAAGGGGGGGAGGATATTTTAATAGTGTAATAGTGTCTACATTAATTATTTTAATAGCGTAATAGATAGAATCAGTAATAATGGTATAACACTAATTGGTATAACAGTATCTACATTAATTAATGTATATGACACTATTTTTTTTTTTCCCCATAAATATTCCCTCGACGGAGGAGAGCACACAACTGCATAGTGCAAAACCGACTGTTTTCCCGCAGAGGGGTGTGGAAACTTACTGGCCGCCCAGCTATCATTTTAATGCTCACAGTTAGTACAATTGACATCACCAATTTGGTAATTTGATAGAAAATAGTCACTGAATTAATTGAAGTTTACTTATAGAATTAATCAACTTTATAATTTTATTCCTAGAAGCATGGCATGTCACTCATATGTTTATTTTTTATATTAAAAAAAAAAAAAAATGCTAACAATTATAATTAACTAAACCAAACTCAGACAATCATAAATTCATAATTAAAATTGAGTCAATTGAATTTTATTTATTTATTTATTATTTTAATTTTGTTCAGAAGTTAATAATTAATTGTTAGATTATCGTTAAGGAGAATTGATCTCACTCCTACTTGCAAATCACTTTTGAGTCTTGCCTCTACATTTCACTTCCAAGACAAGCAAGAGCCAATTGAAATTATAAACGACTCAAATGACACAATGGTCAAAATAAAGAGAGATTTGATCGAAACTTTTATTTTAATACATTAAGAATGAGTATAAAAAATTCTTTAAAAAGTTTAGTACACTTTACTATTACCAAAACATTCTTAGTGACTAATTTAATATATTAATTTTTAATAAAATTAATATTTTTATTCTGTTTCTTAATAACATTTTACTGACTATTAGAGTAACACTTTACTGTCTTCTTGAACAAGACAGTAGCAAAAAAAACAGAATATGAAACAACCACCGATCATAGTGATGATGGGAAGGTCAGCTTCAGCATCAACTACAGCAAATATGATCTGTTTGCTCGATTCGCTGCTCTCAAGACCTCTCTTCTTCCGTCTCTTCTTTTTCTTCTTATCCTCAACTGCATCCCAATAAGTCTAACGGAACAATTGCCCATTGACACTGCTCGACTCGATCCTTCTCCTTCCTATTGATTCTGATGATGATGATAATGATAGCGACAACAATAATGACATTGACATTGATATTGACGATCATCAGAAAGAAGAAGAAGAGAACATGTTTGTTTGTGCAGAAATGTTTACTAAATTCAACAAAAAGGGTAAATTTGTCAATAAAAATGCACCTGTACAATATTGGTGTCCTTGCAAGAAAAATCTATCTTAATGGACTCTACACAATAAAAATTGTTCGAGTGTTCCTTTCATCAAAGAATGGCTCAAGGGAGGGATTTTGGACAAATTTTCCTAATAAAGCGACTACTGGTGTACTTTGCACTCTGATTTTTTTTCTATATTTAAATTAAGGCCACAATTTTAGTGTAATCAAATCTACAAAGCCAAAAAAATCTAACTCACCCATCCAGCTGGGTCGAAACTGCCAACTGCCAAGTTTCAAGATTGGCAGTTTGAGGGCTGCTGAATCAACCTGGTACAATAAAACTACTACTAGCCAGCATATCTCACGAACACTACCAGATTTGCTATGTCAAAAGGTGGATGTCTCTTGAACCTTTAAGATCAATGTTGGGTGGCAATTTTCTTTGTAAATAATGATATATATTGTTATTGTGACTCATTAGTGTGTAATACATTGTAATAATAAACTAAAATATAAATCTTCAGCAGCCCATGAACCTCCGTTATCTTAAAAGGAAAAAGCAGCCTCTGGCAACAAGAATTTGAGTCGTCATGGACAAAGATTCAACTACTTAAAAAATCAATCTGAACAATGTTTGTTTCAACGTAACTTCAGGACTATGTATTTTGAGGGCAAATTGTATACAAGAAGGCAGTTGTGAGCAGTACTTGTTCTATGCCAAACCAAAACCCCTTAAATTCTATAAATTATTGTCAAACAGCATTTTGAGAAAAGTAGTCTATGAGATCCGATGATACTCGCAATTTTGTCCTTTTTCTATTTCTTACAACATATAAAGCCAATTGGCATCAGTGAATGAGAATAAAACTCACAGCAGACTGGAATAGTCTGTGCGGTTGTATTGGAAACATCTTGGGTAGTTCCTCGGCACAATGCAGATGAAAGCAGAAGAGAGAAACATGACTGAATGGTGTTTCACAACAAACTGTAGGTTAGTAGGCCAACCTGAACGTCGCGCCAAATTTGGTACGTATTCCACTTGTCATTTATTATGTAATTCTGTCTTTGGAAGTATATCAGCTCTTCTCACTCTAAACTTGAACCGTGCTCCTACAACAAGAAGAACAACCATCAAAATATGTCAGTGTATCAAGATGGTTATAATCTTTTGATTATTGTGGACATAGAACACTCAAAGCAGACATCAGAAATCTCATCCGATGTAAGACAACCAGTCCTCCCAAGGGTGAAATTAATATAATCTAATTCCCAATAGAAGTAGCTTGATACAAGGCAAAATATATTTAAACAGGATTAGCTATTAGACTATTATGGACGGGGCTGTCTGTAGGTTATAAATTGTGGTCTCTGATGGGTTATGGACAGACACACACACACACACACACACAGATGGGTCTACTTTAGAGATGGTTGATTGGGTGGTAGCTAAGAAGCGTGGACACGGACACGGACACAGACACAGACACGGATGCGGAAACGGACATGGACACAGACATGGGACACAGCAATTTCAAAATTATGAGAACACAGACACGGCAGTAAAATATGTTTTCATATATAAATTTATTTGCTATCTAGATTAATATTATATTCACAATCAATCAACATTAAGAAAAACTAACTCTAATTCTTTTTTCTTTTTTTTAGAACACTTTTAAATGAACATTTACAGTTTATATTTTTTTATGGATAATCTATTATGTATTTAAATCTAAGAAAAAAATAATAAATATTCAATATTCATCAAAAGCATTAAATAAAATAGGAAAAAAGACAATTTAGCATGTCCCTAATGTGTCCCCAAAGTATCCCCTAAAAAAAATTAATTAAATAATGCGGCACGCCATGTGGCGTGGCCCATACGTGTCCCCAAAGTGTCTGCATGTCCGACACGGATACGGCACTTATTTTGAAGTGTCGGTGCTTCATAGGGTGGTAGTCATCGGCAATGACTATTAGAGGTGATCACTATTAATGGGGTTAGGACAGAGTAACTTGATGACTCAATGTGTGAGTTAGGATTGGAACAACATTCCATTTGTTTTGGCAGAAAATATTTTCGTATTTTCTAGAGTTTGGTACTACAGAAAGCGAAAGCAACATAAAATGTTTCGTGGCAGTCAATGGAAAACAAGCTTATTTGGGAAAAAAATATTTTCCAATTTCAAAAGATAGAAAACGTTTTCCGAACTAAAGTCTTACCAACGCAACCACACTACTACCATCATCACCACCTCCAAAAACCCGACCACCATCTCCACCACCACCACCACCACCACCACTATCGCCAACATTGCCTTCACCACCTCCGCCGCCAAAACCTCCACCTCACCCTACTACCACCCCACCACCACCAACACCAACTGCCCCACCTCCTCCTACCAGTACCATTACCACTAACACTAATACAACAACTAATACATTACTTTCAAAGTTGCAACCAGACATAGGAAAACATTTTATGGAAAAAAAAAAAAAAATTCAAAAAAATATTTTAATTACAAAATGCTTTCCTCCAACAAAGAAAGTAAGAATTACTATGAATAATAAAATATGTAAATTTTCTGTTGCAATCGTCATCACAAGGGAAAATTGTTTTTTCAGAAACAGAAGAGGGTGTTGTGATTGTTAGAAACCTAAGGGGTGTAGTCTATGTTACATGGAATTGGATACAAATATCGGGTGCAGGTGTCTGTCCAAAAGTTGGACATTCACAACCATTAATCTTAGGATATCGAGATGTGTCCAAAAGTTACATATGGAGACACATCATGGACACACACACACACACACACACACACATATATATATATATAACATATCATATAATATACTTAGATAAGATGTTTTAAATTATGTAGAAATGTACATGAAATTAAATATGATTAAGAGAAGTGATATTTCTCTCTAACCCATGTGTGAGGTCAGAAATGTGTCTTTAATAGCAAATGTAAGTTTCATTTTTTTTCAAGCATCGTAAAAAATTAGAAGATTCAAGTGTCTAAATTTATAGGTGTTGGACATGTTGGACACATATGGCACTCTTACCTTTATTATATTCCATGGGCACGGTCGGGGAAAATAAAAGAGTCCATATAACACACATGTGAGTACAATTTACACAAAAGCATGTGAATAATAATAATAATAATAATAATAATAATAAAATTGGAAAAAAATAATTAAGATGACCTCACCATTTGTATTTCTTGAGAAGAACTTCAATATCTCGTCAATTATAATAACCTATGCCAGGTTGACAATATCGTAAGTAATGTCAAATAAGAAAGAGATCCAAATATGAAATAGAAAGTGATGCACTGTATTATATTTAAATCCGAAACAATTAAACAAAATAGTCTACATATAAGATATTACTTGCTACTGTAGGTTTCACTAAGCTATTCAGGAAAAGAGCTGAAGTTATTCAAGAAGGGGGTGAAAATTATCAGTTGAAGACATCATTAAAGCTATTCTGAGTAATGGAAGAGAAGCTACCATGACACGGTGACAACTAGAAAGGAAACAAAGAAAAGTAATTACACAGAATCAAAATGAGATTTTATCCATTAAACAAAGTGTGATTTGAAAATTTAACTAAGCCACCACCATATTTGAGGCCCATTGAAGAAATTCCCTCTTTATTAACTCTCACAACCCATTCAGCAAGTAAATAGAATTTGGCGTTAATGTCTGGGTACTAAATGTAAAGACGTTGCTAATGCCAATCATAGAGCAAGGCATCCTTCAATGCCAGTCTTTTAAATGTAAACGCTACAATTGAACTATAAACAGAAATTCAACCCAACTATTTGACTTAGAGATTGTTGTTGATGATTTTCATTTTTAAATTTTCTAAGACAAGTGTCGATTGAGTTATTTAGATCCAAAGGCTTGTCTTATAAAAAAGTAAATAACAAGATTGCTTCTCCATAATAATGTGGTATATACATCCCCTACATTTCAATTATGGATGGGAAAGTAAGATATTAGCCGTCCATCAGTTTTACTACATAGGGGTCGTTTTTAGATTATTAGATTATAGCTTTAAACAGAAGTTGTTGGCTTGTTTGGTGTAGATGTTAGATTATACATTTAAGCTGGAAGGTAGTGTTTGTTAGAATAAGTTGTATACTAGCTTGCATTGTGTAATTATCACTTATAAGAAATGCAAAAATTGTGAAAAATAATTTTTTTTTTTCAAAATTTCATTTTCAGAACTATTTCCATAATTTTTTTACACAGGAAGATTTCAATCTGGATATGTGGGTAAGCTCTGGAGGAAAGCTTTCCTTCCAAAGAACATGTCTCACACTAAGATTATATTTTGCCATATAATGGGATTTTTCTTTACAATTTATACTATACATGTACCCAATAGTTTTTGGGTCTGATTTAACATCGATTGAATTCCTGTTGTTCCATGACTAGAGCATCATGAACTGCATAAAACCCTAATCCGTAAATTGGATTTTTTTCTTCTCAAAATCATTACAAAAACCCTAAATTGTGGATTGGATTCTTCCATAAATTGCTACAGATTAACAACCACCATCGTAGAAAGCAAAGTACAAATCAAAATTGAAATCTATTTGGTGGTTGTGATCCAAAATCATCAAACCCAAATCTGTAGCAAAGGGATCAAAGATAGTAAAGAACTGAACCAAAATCATCAACAAGTTCAGGTGCTTGTCATCTAGGCAACGAGTTGCCTTCGTTACGCATATCTGATTGTCATCACCCATCTTCAGAAGTTGTCGGCTGATCGTCACCCATCTTCGGTAGTTGTCGGCAGGTCATGTTGCCAAGTTGAAAGAATCAGAGAAAATGAGTAGAGAGAGAGAGAGTCGTGAGGGAGAGAAGCAGTGAAATGAATGGTTGGGGTATTTATATAGTGGCACAGCTGTAATTCTTGCAAAATCCAAGGGATGCTTAAATAATTTCACCCATTAACACAGCTTTCTGCATAAACTATAAGCTCAGAAGCACCTCTTTCGGTGCTTGCAATAAACAGCTTATTTGGGGTCAAAATAAGCTATGTTAAGCCATAAGTTGATCCCATTAAGCTACACCAAATACTCATTTGTAATTTAATATAAGTTAAAAGGTGATAAAAGCAGCTTATAAGCTACACTGAACACCTACATTCCAAGGGAAACTAACCCACAATAGTGAAATGCAGTAATCAGGTACACACGTGCAGCACATTTGACAGTGGCAGAGAATACCACTCTCTATCAATAACAAGAAAAAAGTAGCAATTCATGTCATTTGTCTATTAATTTTAACAATATCATTACACAGTTAGCAGCAGAATATGCACCAACATGGCAAGATAATAAGCGCCGATGCTCAAAGAGAGAATATGAACATCAGCAAACAAGGAATGTAATCAAACTACTTACAGGAAATGAAAGATACAAAACAACAGTCCACTCAGCCCAAGACAATGGCGTCACCTGCAACACAAAATTCAAATATTTTAATTAACAACGTCATGTAAGGGGGCAAAAAAGTCGAATCATATAAAAGAAATTGCAGTAAATAGATAGAAGTAGAAGGTAAATCACTTACGGAAAAAAGAATAGACAAAGGTCGCACGTACAAGATAAGAATATGAAGGAGCATGGTCAGTACAATTGAACCAACAAGCCACAGATTACTCCAGGGCGGGATAACACTGCGGACAATAAAAAACTTAAATTTATGAAAAGTTGGCTCAATTTTCTGAACCAGACATGGTCATTAGTTTTTTTTTTTTTTGGTTTGGAATGTTCACAAAAATAGGGCCATTATATGCCCCTTGGTTTATACTATGTCTTTTGAAAAGTAAAAAAAAAAAGATAATTTTTAACTTTTTATCCATTTTGGATCACATCACCTCTCACAATTTTTTACCGATAAAAAGATAAAATAAATTAAAAAAATCAAAAAATAAACATTTTACGACATATGTGTCCAAGACATTTTCAACCATGCGGTGTGTGTGGACCACGTCCCTCGCATAACAACTTTGGTTTGCTGTGAGTTTGTTGTAATAAATTTGACATTTTATTAATACTTTTACAAATATAATATATATATATATATATATATATATTAGGAGAAACAGAACAGCCAAATTTACAAGTGGTCATTTCTGTTCTTTCAAAGCCTTTAAACTACATTTTGCTTTGCAAACACTATTTTCAATGGTATTCTTCATGCAGTTTAGTTTGCTGCACTTCTGAGAAGCCAAGAAGTAGTATCTTAATAAAAAGCAGTATTCCAAATCTATCACCTTTAAAAGTGTTTCATGGCCACTTGTATTAGTGAAAAATTAAAAATCTTTATTCTTCCCTGATTTGATTTTATACAGTACCTTATGGGAAGAAGATGGAAATCCAAGAAACTGGCTATAACCATGTTTTTACATGTCACACATTCAGCATTCAAATGAATCGATCTGGGGACAGAGACAGTATCAAACTTGAGATGAAGTTTGAGGTTCAAGTGAATACTTACAGGAGAGATTGATTTTCACTGAGATTATTCAATGCATTGAACATCTCGACAACAACAAGCACTGTCATTGACACAGTTGATGGGTGCCGATCATTGAATATACTACATGGATAACTTGTATCCCTTGTTGAACAAGTGTCAAAATTCATCTGAGATAGTGTAGTACAAAATGTTAGTGTAGAAAAAGGATAATTTATGGGCATGCACAACCAATAATTCTGTTGAACAGAAAATCAAACCATAGTCAACGCAGATCATGGGATCAACAATAAAATGCCGAATGCTTATTGTTGAAAAAAAGACATATGAAGTGTTAGCAGAGTCCTTTTAAAAATAATAATAATAATAATAATAATAATTAAGTTCAAACCAAATTTAAATTTTCCATTTAATTCCATCATGTAAAAGACTGAATGATACATTTTTTAGAACAAACCATTTTTTAAACTTGCAGAATCAAATATTCTATTTATATTACTCTGAATCTATGCAACATAGGTATTTTGACAAACATATTGTACCTGTACCACGTATCTCTTCAATATATCTTCATAATTTGGCGAAAACGACGTCGTTTCATGCATTATGTAAACAAAAATAAAAATAGAACTGAATCGTAGTGAATCGTAAATTGAATCGTACGATTCAATCAATTTCTGATTCAACAACACGATTCGAATCGTTGTTTTTGTTTTTTGTTTTTTGAAACTTGTATCTAATCGTATGAACCGAATCGTGAATCATATGATTCTATCAACCATGGGTATTTGTATATGGTACTTCTTCATGTGTACTGTACACGAAACATGTACCAAATTTTTTCTTCTTACTTTTTGCCGTACCCCAGACACACCTAGTATGTACTGAAGCCATACCAGACCTCAATCAAAACAATATTTTGTTCTATATAGAGGTAAAATTAGTTTCATTGGACATTATTTATTTGTTCTTTTTTTAAGCTTAGCATGATTTTAAAACTAAGTTATGGCTTGTAAGTTATTTAATATAATGACATGTAATTTTTGTTTGTACCTTACTTTTTGCCATTAAATATGAATTGTAAGTTGGATTTTCTTAACAAACTAAAGCATTAAACTAATTTTTGTATTACATTACTCAAAATTAAAAATAAAAATAAGTTTTAACAAACGGACCTAACTGTACTTGTACCCTACTTTTTTTAGATTTTACCATATCGACTCTCACCGGTACCGTACCAATACACATACCCGTACACACGCTTCGTAGTTCTGCATAGCTGCTTATTGTATAATTTGGTTCTGATTAGAAACTGAAAGACACACAGCCCAGACGGCAGCTAGAATATTTCCATAGCTAGATGGAAAGTTATAGCAATTTCAAAGATCAAATACAAATATATTGACAATTAGAAATTATATAAAGGGAAGCCAAAAAGAAGAAAGTGAAGCAATTCCATTTACAATATGTCAAGCTCTCACCGGTATCGTACCAATACACATACCCGTACACACGCTTCGTAGTTCTGCATAGCTGCTTATTGTATAATTTGGTTCTGATTAGAAACTGAAAGACACACAGCCCAGACAGCAGCTAGAATATTTCCACAGCTAGATGGAAAGTTATAGCAATTTCAAAGATCAAATACAAATATATTGACAATTAGAAATTATATAAAGGGAACCCAAAAAGAAGAAAGTGAAGCAATTCCATTTACAATATGTCAAGCCAAGTGTGAACATAAACTTGTCCTCAAATTTGTAGGCCATCGCTTTAATATGTGTACAACCGATAAATCAACTCATAATAGGGACACTGATGCAAGGTTAACCACATTTTTTTAGTCAGCCTGTAACAAATTTGGAGACATCTAACTCAAAATTAATTAATTATAGGTGAAGAAACCTCTAGACCACATGAACCAAGCTTGGATGGCTTAGAGAAGCAACGTGGGACAAGTCTCTAACATAGCCAATTTTGAAATCAATCCTAATCTGATATTTCCTGAATTTCCAACTTTATGGATTAAAGTGGGAATCAAATTCTTAAATATCTTTAGCTGAATTTTGTATTGGATTTATCCTGAATTTAAATTAGAATAAAATAAAACTCAAGACATTTCTTTCTAAATTCTAAGTCTGGATTTTCCGAAATTTGGTCAAATATTTCCTATTCTTCCAAAATGTATTTCTTTGAATTTGGATCTGTTTATATTAAGACATCTAATCTGCAAGGGTGGAACCAGGATCTATATTGGGAGGGGCCAAGTTGACATACCCTTCAACCCCTTCCCCTTGCTCAACCCAACCATTCAGCCAAACTCTTTGAAACGGAGTAGCATGTGTGTATATATATGTATTGTATTAATAGTTTATATCCATAAAAACATAGAGAAGATAGAGAAAGGGACAAATCATAATTAACCAACGTATGTAGTTATTAATTAGGAAACCCAATGATAATTTCAAAATTTATCAACACAAAAAATAGAATCAATGGAGCACCTACAAGATATAAGAGACAGGGAGAGGCCACTAAACAAATTTTGTTAAAAAATTAAAAAACACGAGAGGCTAATAATGGAAAACAACGTATTTCTCATCTTCCATGTATCTACAGAAATATATACGTGGGTGAAATTAGTGAACTCAAGGGTGCCATCGCCTCGTTTTGCCTGTATGTAGTTCTATCCACACTAATCTGAAGTCAAATTTTGTTGAGTTTATAAAGTTGGCGACTTTCAAAAGCATGATCTGATGTCATACAAAACCAAAAACAAACGCAGCAAATATCACACAGTAGTCTAATATGAGATAGAACTTACCAATTCAACATATGGTAATTTAGGCCCACTATCAGCAAAAACAAACCACCATATGAATCCCGCAATGGTGGCAAGTCCAACATAAGCTACAAAAACCGAATAATTCAGTCATACAACAGTTCAAAAAAATTGAACTAAAATCAACCTCTTGCTATTGATCTTTGCAACAACTTGAATAGTGAACATGTGAAATACTCGTTCAAATTTCTCTCATGGGTATGCTGTAAGAAGCATTCTGCAAATTGGACCACAAGGTGAAAAACAAAGAAGTGCTAACAGACTGTACCTCCAATAACTAGATAACGAAAGAATAGCCAACCACTGACAACAGCTTCATTAACCTGCACATTCAAACAAATAAAAAAGTAAAATCAAAGAAATAAGAAAGTTTTTCCCTTTCTAAGTACGAAAAATCTCGAACGCACTACTAGATTCACAATTCAATGAATTATACAAGAAACAAAGAACCATCATTATGGAATTGTGGAAACTGTAATATTATTTTGAGGGGAGATTAGTACGTGTAATTTTTGTTTCCTAATTAGTATTTGGTTCTTGGTATATATATTTAGAGCTTGTAATCGTAGTTTATGGAGATAATACACATATTGTTTGTAAATTCACATGGCATCAGAGCACATACCGTACCCTAGCAGCAGTCGCCATGAACCCTACTGTCCAGAAAATGGCCCACTATTAGGAAAAATTTTAACACAAAACTTTTCGTACCCTCACATATCCTTTTAAACAAATGGAGGCTGGGGGTATCAAACCCACCCCACCTCCCACCCCCTCGTCTTTTCTTTTCTTCCTATTTTTGAGGGTTAGAGCAGATCCACCGAGTTCGTATACAGAAGAAGAATGTACCAAGAATAAAAATATAAAAAGATAAATTTCAGAAATTTTTAGTATGCAACAAGTTTTCAACCGTACTAATGCATATATTATACAAAGTGCAACCTCTTGTGTGGCACGAGTTCACATCTTAAATTTGTGGAAGAACTTGATACGAGTATGTATTCCAACACGAATATGCTACAACATATTTCTTAAGACAATCCACTAGAAGGTACCATCACCAAATAAATTTACTCTTCAATTAGATTTTAGTTAATAGAGGTGACTTTACAAGTGTAATTTTTGCAAAAGACATGAAAATAGGATGGTTTTACACTTTAGCAGGAAATAATTTAAGGTATTCAACTTCTCAACTCAAACACTTGGAACTGCAATCATGTCAAAGCTCTTCCATGCTCAAAACAGAATTGGGAAAATCTTTCACAATATAACACATTTCCTTTATTATTATTATTATTATTATTATTATTTATTTATTTATTTATTTATTTTTAAAGTTAAGGTGATAGGCTAAATACTTTTAACTCTTATGACCTAAGAGCATGGACACTCGTAAGAAAATGATGGATGTTGGACATCAACACTCATCGCATACTCCCCGATACATGTGAACCACTCATCCAAACCTGTCCTACATATTTTTATCCAAACCTGTCCAACATATTTTTTTTTTTTAAACCAAACACTATTCCAACACTAATATGCTACAACATATTTCTTAAGACAATCCACTAGAAGGTACCATCAACAAATAAATTTACTCTTCAATTAGATTTTAGTTAATAGAGGTGACTTTACAAGTGTAATTTTTGTAAAAGACATGAAAATAGGATGGTTTTAGACTTTACCAGGAAATAATTTAAGGTATTCAACTTCTCAACTCAAACACTTGGAACTGCAATCATGTCAAAGCTCTTCCATGCTCAAAACAGAATTGGGAAAATCTTTCACAATTAAAATGCACCCCACCAGCTTCTTGCTGAAACAGCTATAACACATTTCCTTTATTATTATTATTATTATTTTTTTAAAGTTAAGGTGATAGGCTAAATACTTTTAACTCTTATGACCTAAGAGCATGGACACTCGTAATAAAATGATGGACGTCGGACATCAACACTCATTGCATACTCCCCGATACATGTGAGCCACTCATCCAAACCTGTCCTACATATTTTTATCCAAACCTGTCCAACATAATTTTTTTTTTTTAAACCAAACACTTCGAACATTTGGGAGACACACATGTCCATTGCTTAGACACACACAAAACACATTGCAAGTTTGAAGAAAATTACGTGGGATCCAATAATAAAATAAAAACAATGCGGATTTATAACTTAATCCCCCTCCTACAAATTTTTTAAATTTTAGGAACAAACCCTTCCAATTTTTTTGTGAATAGAACATTCTAAAATAGATATTTGAACTTTTTGTTCGCACTTCTTTTCTAATATGTAGAATGTGAAAAGTGGCTTTTATTGTTTAGCTAACAAAAGATATATGTATTTCAGTATAAAAAATGAAAGGAATTTTTTTTTTCTCAATATACATTTATTTTTTGTTGCGTCCTTGGTAGTGTTGTATGCTATTTCTTGGAAAATTATCATGGTGTTGTCTTTATATCGTGTCATATCCGTCTCACATCCGTATCATATTTCCTACCATATGAAATATATAAATCATTTCTACAGTTCCATGTTGACCTTGATAAAGTCAACCTAGATAAAGAGTTAGTTTCTCCACAAGAAATTTTCAACTTATTGTAAATTTAACTTCCTCTATTCTCCATGTCAGAAAGAACATTGAGCGCATTTAAGGTTGTTCATCTAAATAGAGGAAAACCAAGTGAGTCATTTCAGCTATTTTACATGTACAAGGATACCTATAGGCATGATTCGTTGTGTTCGTTTGTTGCTATCAGTTTACATTTTACAAGAAACAAAGAAAAATTGGCAAACTTTTTTCCAGGAAAATTTTCTAAAAGCAACCCAGTTTTTAGGAAACAACATGAAAACTGTTTTCACCAAAAAATCAAAACAATATGAAAACGATGGATGTGTTGTATAAACAATATGGATGTTTTCACAAAACCACAACCAAACACATGTGAGTGCAAATCTAATAGTATAATCTTTCTAATTCAAAAGCTTGGGATACGAGGACAATATTGGGATACAAGGACAAAGTTAAGTGTCAGCTTGTTCAGATTTGGTGTCAGTATTACAAACTCACTTAATGGTGGCTGAGAAGTTGTAAGCATATATAATATTAGAGGTTATTTTGCTATATAAACAATAAATTATATTATTTAAAAACATAGAAAACTCGAGCTTTTGTTTGTAAAATTTGCTAAGAAATTATTTATAGTGTAAACATTTTCTTACAGCTGCACCTGTATGGAGAAGTCTAGATCACCATCACAACTATGATTGCCTTTGGCAACCTATTCAACGTAGGTTTCCAGCTCCAAAAATGATAAATTCCAACCATGTAATGAAATTTTCTTTTTGACCATGTTTCATTCTGTTCCTCTCTTCTTTCGTTGGTAACAGTAGCAGTGTCCACACTTTGGCCTATACTATATCAGCTTTCATGGTCTGAACACCGGGGTAATGTGACAAGCCCATGTAACACAATTCTTGATACCAAACACAATGGAAGGTCCAATACTAGCATTAACCAAAAGTTTTGTTTTGTTTATGATGCATAATAGATAGAAGCTTACAGTGTCTATTTTTCACTTCTCAAAAATAAATAAATCAATCACATCTCTTAACATTGCAGGAACAGTTCACAAAAAATAGAAAATAAAAAATAAAAACTTTCCACAAGCTATCTAAAATCAAACAATTTCCTTCAAAGACCAACAATCATACAATTCTAATAGATAGCATAAACCATTGAAACATAGGTCTAAATAAAATTATCTATTGTAAAACCCTATTATCGTTGGGACATATTCTGCCATCTTGAAGCACCAATGGATTTTACATAATTCGTAAACGAAGAAAAATTAATCGAACTCTAAGAGGCACCGACATGGTGGGTACACACATGTCCATGTGTCTGACACACCATGTAGCGTGTTCATGTTTTTAATTATTACTTTTTCTGTAGGATACGTTGGAGATACTTCATGGACACGTGTCTAAAACCCTATTATCGTTGGGACATATTCTGCCATCTTGAAGCACCAATGGATTTTACATAATTCGTAAACGAAGAAAAATTAATCAAACTCTAAGAGGCACCGACATGGTGGGTACACACATGTCCATGTGTCTGACACACCATGTAGCGTGTTTATGTTTTTAATTATTACTTTTTCTGTAGGATACGCTGGAGATACTTCATGGACACGTGTCCTGTGATTGGACACTCAGAACACCTTTGTAGATTTTTCTTATAATTTTAGAAAGCCGATTTGAGGAGAAAAGTAGAAAAAAAATAAAAATACGCCCACATATACATCAATATCTCTCAAATCTATGTATCCTAAACTTATATTTTTATACATAGTGAATAAAAATGTATAAAAATATATTTTTCCCATATTTAATGTGTGTCCATATCCTAAATTTTTAGAATCCCGGCATCCTGTCTCCGTATCCATGCTTCTTAGATCAAGCTTATGCTTCATCACGTTACCAAGGAGAGAAAAGCAACAGAGGTTTAGAGTCTTACAACATCCTTTTCAAATTCAAATGGTTGTAAGGTTTCAATTCTCTATTTTTTTTGTGCCTTTTACAAGCACCACACATTAGCAGCCACATAGCCATCAAATTAATTTAACAAAAACAAATATCATAGTTTAGTTGTAAATTGTATTATACGGAATGGTTAAAAGTGACTAAAAGTAATCAAATAGCAGAAGACCACAAAGTTATAAAGGACATCGATTTGATTACCTTACGAGGTTTAGCCTTCATCACATCACAGTCTGGCTTATTAAAACCAATAGCAGTGGCAGGCAATCCATCAGTAACTAAATTTACCCAGAGCAGCTGGACCTGGAAGAGAAAAATCAATCACTCAACTTTACTTCGCTATGACATCAAGGAAACATAAAAATATCCAATAAAATAACAGATTTGAAAGTAGAATGAGGACATAGCTTTTAAGTATATGGATGAATTTATTTTATTTATGTCACAGTTAGTGTTCTAAAAATAGGTCGTAATTGTTACGTAATGCTATTCCCTAACTGTATGGGCAGTTACCACTACTCATTATGGCTGCTATAGAGGTATTATTGAATTTCACGGCCGTTACTATTGTTACATAACAATGGCCAACACATTTTTGCGCATTTTCTCCTCTATCAACTTCTGTTTTTTATTTATTGAACATTATTTTTATATGTAGTTCTACCTTGTAAGTTTTATAAGTTGAGAGAAAATAGATTGAGATGGTTTGGTCATATACAACGGAGTCCAACAGAGGCAGTAGTAAAGAGATGAGATACAATGACGGTAGATGGAAGTGTTAGGGGAAGAAGCAAACCGATGGTTTGGTCATATACAACAAAGACCAACAGAGGCAGTAGTAAAGAGATGCGATACAGTGACGGTAGATGGAAGTGTTAGGGGAAAAAGCAGACTTAGATTGACGTGAGCTAGTGTAGTAAATAGAGATATGAATCTCCTTAGTTTGACTAACAATATGGCCTTGGATAAAGTCGAATGAAAAAGAAAGATTCATGTAACCGACTCCATTTGTTGGAACTTAAGGCTTGGTTTGGCTTGGTTTACTTATATAACTTGAAAAATATGAATCATATGATTTTAATTTTTTCAATAAAATAATAATTGTATTCATATTTATTTATTAAACACATGTAACCTGCAAATTTGAAACACAACATAATATCACTAGTCTAAAACTATTAATAACAAAACAAATAACAATAAAGTGGTGCATTATAAATGTATCACGGATGAAATCATTAAATGTTGAGTGAAAAATGTGAACTTTCTTTACAGAGACTTTAAAAAAAAGTACAAAATTCAGTGCATACATTGGATAAAAATCATATGATTTTATTAATTGTATTCATATTTATTTATTAAACATATGTAACCTGCAAATTTGAAACACAACATAATATCACTAGTCTAAAACTATTAATAACAAAACAAATAACAGTAAAGTGGTGCATTATAAATGTATCACGGATGAAATCATTAAATGTTGAGTGAAAAATGTGAACTTTCTTTTCAGAGACTTTAAAAAAAAGTACAAAATTCAATGCATACATTGGATAAAAACTATACTAAATCCCCCAAAAAAACCATTTAAAACCTAAACAAATATGATTCTGAAATAAAAACATGTGTATTGGTAAGTTTTCGCAAAATTATACGAGAAGTGTGAAATTTCACAGCTCTGGTTGCAACAACCGTTATGTACGCCCCTTACACCTCACAAATGCATCATCGCCACTGTCACCAGTTTGGTCATGGTAAGGTAAACTTTCTACACAAGGGACCATGAGCGTATAGAAGATAATCAAGCATCATGCATTTTTATACTGAAACCTAAATAGGAGAACCCAGTAATGGTCATGCCAATGCAAGGTGCTGGGAATGGTGGACTAAATACAGACCTATTTTCTGCCATTATTTGCATAGGCGGCTGCCCTTAAACTCTTCTCACAATGTCATGCTTGACAGCCAATGTATGCCATAGCACCAAGCTATAGTCTCCGTATATGGCTAAATTTATGTTAAATTATGTTCAGGTTTTCACACACAAAAATATGCATGCCATGCCACCAACTTTTATGTTGAAAACAAGAACTAATCAGACGAGTCATTTACATGTATACTTCAACAAATAAGAGTGAATTAAACAAAAGATCATATTCTGTAAGCAAATATACTCACAGGAACAAGAGTTTCAGGTATTCCAAGTACAGCTGCCACAAAAATACAAACAACTTCACCAATGTTTGAAGATATCATGTATCGGATAAACTGCTTTGTGTTATTGTATATTGCTCTTCCCTCTGCAACAGCCTGCTTGGATATGACTCATTCTTGAGATGATTGAAACCATGAGATTTTTTCTTTTCAGAAATATTCTTTATCACCAAAAGGACTTCAAGAAGACAAACATGCCAAGGCAATAAAATTCCTACTCATCAAGATGAAATAAGAAAAGCTTACCGCAACAATTGTAGCAAAATTGTCATCTGCCAAAACCATATCTGAAGCACTCTGAAAATCCAAACAATATAAGAGAAAATGTTTAATAGATGTGTAGAGGCACTTATGTAGAAACCATAAAAGAGCACTTATGTAGAAACCATACAAGACAAGCCACAAACGAGCATAGCAATTATGTAGAAAGAATGCCAGTAATGAAAAGAGGGATTTAAACAATATCTCATATATATATGATGACCAGACCATATTACCATGAGCAAACTATTTTAGAACTGTTACATGGACTGTCTAGGTGTCACCCGCACGATTGGGATCTTGTTAGAGATATCTCTAAATTGCGTTACAAGCACTCTTCTAGTTAACCCATTGTACCCATGGGCCATGTCCACCAAATATGACAAAGGTAAGGATATGGGAAGTGTCCAATACCCGTACCCAATTTAGAAACCTGGATCCTCTAATTTCATATGACATTTGAAGAATTTGCTAATAAAGAAACATTTCCAGCTTCTCACACGAATGTGAGATATAAATTCTATATTTTTTCTAAATCTCATTTACTTTGAAATACATTTTTTAATAATTTACAATATCTTATATAACAATATTATATAATATGCAATACATAAAAGTATTTAAGATATGTATCCATTCTCAACTGTTGGATGCATATTCTAATATCCTAAGTTTTAGGTTTATGAAGATCTGATGCCTAGACTCACATCCAATACTCATATTCGAGTCCATGTAACATAGATTTAAAATATATTGCAAAAATGCAACAAAAATGGACATAAATAAAAACACATATACATAATTCACAAGTGTCTAATGTCTGAAACGCTCATGCCGGAAGACAATCTATGAAAGAGAATAAAGTAATAATCAAATCTCTATAACTAGTACAAGTAGGTAACTAAATTAAACACGCTGATAAATCGTAATTATTCACAAAAATCAACTATAGCTTTTCAGGCATCCTTTTCCAACCCTGGAAAAAGGCAGGGGCAGCGAGTAACAATTGGAAGACATCCAGCATATTACCATCAGCCAAAACAAGTTCAAATCAGACAAGTAACAGTCACCCACACCAGGCACAACAAGATGGACGTAATAGTTAGCTAAAACTTAGTACTTATCAGCAAAAAACTTAGAAAAATATGAGGAAGAAGAACTCCGAAAATATGAGGAAGAAGGAATATATTTCTGTTATATTCAAAACTTCTTATCTTACAAGACCAAATGACACTCCTTATATAGGAGATATTACAAACATCATTATAACCCATTATATGCCACTTACATATTATATATTACCACTATCTACCACTATCATATTATATACATGCCACCAACACCACTATCATATTATATACATGCCACCAACACCACTATCATATTATATACATGCCACCAACACCACTATCATATTATATACATGCCACCAACACCACTATCATATTATATACATGCCACCAACACCACTATCATATTATATACATGCCACCAACACCACTATCATATTATATACATGCCACCAACACCACTATCATATGCCACTATCTTATTATATGCATTAACACAAATTTCCAGCACTCCCCCTCAAGCTGGTTTGAAGATATCTTCCATAGCCAGCTTGCTAGTCAGCTTATCAAATTGCTTCTTGTGTAGTCCCTTCGTTAGCACATCAGCTAATTGTTCACCTGTTGGAAGGTAGGTCATACAGATTATGCCAGCATTGATTTTCTCCTTGATGAAATGTTTATCCACTTCTATATGTTTTGTGCGATCATGTAGAACTGGATTATGAGCTATAGATATAGCTGCTTTGTTGTCACAATAGACCTTCATAGGTGTCAGGTGAGAAAGTTTTAATTCTTCAAGAATTCTTTTAATCCACATTACTTTACAGATTCCATGGGCAACAGCTCTGAACTCTGCTTCTGCACTACTTCTAGCTACCACATTCTGTTTTTTACTCCGCCATGTAACTAGGTTCCCACCTACAAAGGAGCAGTATCCGGATGTTGATATCCTATCTGTAACACTTCCTGCCCAGTCTGCATCTGTGTATACTTCAACTTGAAGACGTCCATGTTTCTTGAACAGTAAGCCTCTCCCTGGAGTTCCTTTCAAATATCTTAAGATCTTATAAACGGCCTCAAAGTGCTCTGCCCCTGGTGAGTGCATGAACTGACTTACCATGCTGACTGCAAAGGCAATATCAGGCCGCGTATGAGACAAGTAAATCAATTTCCCGACAAGTCGCTGATATTGTTCCCTCTCTTTGACTTCTTCAGCCTTAGCAGCCTGTAACTTCAAGTTAGGCTCGATCGGAGTCTCCACCATCGTACAACCAAGCATACCTGTTTCTCCAAGAAGATCAAGAACATATTTTCTCTGATTAACGAATATACCTTCCTTGGATCTTGCAAATTCCATTCCGAGGAAATACTTGAGGGCTCCCAGATCCTTAATGTGAAATTCTTTTGCGAGTTTCTCTTTGAGGGCTAGAAATAGCCAGTGTCTCCCCTTTGCCGAGGCAGGATTTATGGCGGCACAAAATACAGAAGAAATTGTGGTTATGGCAGCTGCATCGGAACAGGGGACCGCTCCACAGAGTGAGGCTAGCATCAGTATGTCATATCCGCCCAGGTCGCCCGTTGTGCACCCGGTTTGGGCTCCCCAGTTATACCAGGCGGTGGAGGCGGCGTGGTGGACTCCACAAAAGCGACAGTTTTTCTACCCTTGACGACCGTCTCGACGTTCCCAGGGTTTAAAACAGGGTCCGAACCAGACACAGAACCGTTCTTCTGGACCGGGTCAGTCTTGTTGGCCGCAGCATCGCTAATTAAAGCAGAAATTTCAATTGATTCACCAGTACCTTTTTTCTTAAGCATGACGTTCCTTCGGCTCTCTTCCCTTCTGACTTCGGCAAATACTTCGCCAATGGATGGGAGAGGAGGTCTGCCAATAATTCTTCCTCGCACTTCATCGAACTCAATGTTGAGGCCGGCAAGAAACTTGTAAATACGGCTGTCTTCCACGATTACCTAAAATTTCGATGCCAGAACTCGGGTGGACATTCGGGTCATTAGGATGGACGTTCGGGTCATTATTCCTCAGATGAAATCGCTTCCTAGTATAAACCTGAAGCTCAGGATTTAGATCATTTTGTAGTACTTCTCCCCCTAAACAAGAATCTTCTTGACTAGGCACCATAGAACTTGGTTCTCCTAAGTGATCATTATCAGACAGATGTGGTTTTTGTGTAGGATAAATGACATTGGGGAGCGGGATAGAAATATCCCAAAAACGGTCTTCTACTCCACTTGTCTCCCTCTGAAGAGAAGTGTTGGGGAAATAGGATTTTGTTTCCACAAATGACATATCCATACTCACATGAAATTTCTTGTTTTGAGGATCAAAACACTTATACCCCTTTTTGTTTGAGGAATAACCCAAAAAAACACATTTTATAGCACGGGGGTCAAGTTTTGAACGAAATGGATTGGGAACATGAACATAGACAGTACATCCAAAAACTTTGGTGGGTAAATCAGAAAACAACCTCGTGTCAGGAAAAAAAGTTTTGAGACAATCAAAAGGTGTTTTGTATGTTAACACCTTTGTAGGCATCCTGTTTATCAAATAAGAGGCTGTTAAAATTGCTTCACCCCATAAATATTTAGGAACATGCATGTAAAACATTATAGCACGTGCTACTTCAAGTAGATGTTTATTTTTTCGTTCTGCAATGCCATTTTGTTGAGGGGTATCCCGACATGTAGATTGATGAAAAATCCCCTTTTTTTTCCAAAAACTCACCCAACTGCTCATTGAAATATTCTGTTCCATTATCAGAATGTAAAATACCAATTTTGGTTTGAAATTGGTTTTCAATCATGTTGTAAAAATTTGTGAATAAATTTTTCACGTCAGATTTTTTATTCATCAAATAAATCCAACATAAGCGGGTATGGTCATCAATAAATGTAACAAACCATCTTTTACCAGAAAGAGTAGTGATTTTAGAAGGGCCCTAAACATCACTGTGAATCAAATAAAAAGGTTTTGAAGCCTGGTAAGGTTTTGGCAAATAAGTAGAACGATGAAATTTTGCAAAAATGCAACTTTCACAATGAAATAATTCTGGAAATAAATGTTTCAGATAAAGAAAACTAGGATGTCCTAGCCTATAGTGCCATAGCATTATTTTTTCTCGAACAGAGATTGAACTAGTACTATTAAAGCTCTGAGCTTTTTTATTACTAACAGGTACTTCATCAAAGTAGTAAAGACCTTCAAGCATCCTAGCACGCCCAATCATCATCCCCGAGTTCTGGTCCTGAAATTCACAATGGGATTCAAAAAATGTAACACGACAATTAGAATCCTTAGATAGTTTACTGACAGACAAAAGGTTACAGGCTAAGTTGGGGACGTGAATAACAGCATTGAGATTAATTTTCTCAGTTAGTTTAATAAATCCTTTTCCTGCAATAGGTGAAAAACTACCATCGGCTATTCTGATTTTGTCATGACCAGAACAAGGGAAATAGGTACTAAATAAATGAGAAAAACTAGTCATGTGATCAAAGGCACCGGAATCTATGATCCACGGAGAGAAGTTTAGGCAAGAGAAGGCTTTAGGATTTCTACCTGTTTGTGCCAACAAAACACTAGGAGTACCGGATGAGGAGTTGGATTTTATCAGCTATAAGAGTTGATCAATCTGCTCTTTGTTGAAGGGACCTGAATCGGCTTCATTAGCGGTAAAGCCACGATTCTTCTCTCCTTGTTTGCTGCTTTTCCAGTTGACAGGTTTGCCATGGATCTTCCAACACGTTTCGCGTGTATGGCGAGGCTTGTTGCAAAAATCACACCAGAACCGAGGCTTATCATCAAACCTGCGCTGGTAATTTGTAGTCTTGTTGGCCGCAGCATCGTTAATTAAAGCAGAAATTTCAATTGATTCACCAGTACCTTTTTTCTTAAGCATGACGCTCCTTCGGCTCTCTTCCCTTCTGACTTCGGCAAATACTTCGCCA